TGGGATACTGCCCAGAATTGACTGTGGGGATGAAGTTACAAGTACGTCACTAGGGCTAAATGCTAGGCTTAGATTAATATGTAAGGATGAGCAGATTGGTTGGTTGGACTTGTGAGATCAGTTCAGTGGAAGAAGGGAGTTTTTTGGAATGGATGGTTTACATTTAAATATGGTAGGGGTGGCCTGTTTGCTAAGGATATTAATTCAACTGTAAGGGAATTTTTTAACTAGGAGTAAACAGTGGTGAGGGCCAGGAAAAACTAAATGTAAAAAGAATAAGAGGCAGAGCAAAGTTTAGCATAGGAAATGAGTATAGAAGTAGCTCTAAGGATAGGCTTAATTGTTACTATTGTAATGCTAGAAGCATAAGAAATAAAATAAATAACTTTAGAGCACTGGTAGAAATGGAGGATTTTGATATAATGGGAATAATTGAAACATGGTTAAATGTAGATGATTTTGATTACAGAAATTTTCTTTGAAATACAGAGTTACAGGCTATTTAATAGGGATAGAGTAATTAAAGAGGGGGGAGAAGGAGTGGTTGTATATATAAAATGAGAGTTATATCCTGTTGAAGTTGAGGTTATTAAATTGAGATTAAGATTTCAGCTGTTAACGAAGTAATAATTATGGGTGATTTTAATTTCAGGCACATAGATTGGGAAATGCTGACTCTAAACCATGAGGGAGAAAGGTTTTTGGAAATTGTTCAAGATGGCTTTCTTCACTAATTAGTCAAGGAACCAACTTGAAAGAATGCTATTTTAGATTTATTGTTAACTTCAATTATAGAAATGATCGAAAGGGTAGAAATTGGGGAACATCTGGGTGCATCTGTGATCATTGCTCTGTTAGGTTCAATGTTGTGCTTCATGTGGAGATAAGGAATAATGATATTTTGGTTACAAATTTCAAAAAAGCAAATTCTGAAGAGATGCGACAAGAATTATCTGTTGTGAATTGGGCGCCTGAATTATTTGGAGACACTGATCAGATGTGGAAAATTTTTAAGATAAATTTTTAAATATCCAAGGTAAGCATATTTCTTATAGAAGGAAAAGGGTAGTTGCAAGTAAAAAACCAGGTTTGCTCACAAAGAGCTTAAGATAAAAGGATAAAAATGTCATCTTTACTAATATTTAGTAGTAACAGAAAGCTTATAACAGAATTGAAATGTTGTGAAATTCACTTAGTCTGATGGTAAGATTGTTGATGAAATTGCCACTAGTATGGATGCAGTTACTTAAGCCATGTCTTTATTAAGAAGTATTGTTTGGATTTTTCTTTCTAAAAATATAATAAGAGTTGCGTAAGGAATGTTTTAAGGACATGTATTTCCATGTTTTCACCATTCATTAAGCTGTAGTTTCAAGAGATTTTGTTCCCCAGATCCCCATTGGGGTCACTGCTCCTAGTCTTTGTTGAAGGCATTATTGGTCCTCAAGTACAAGGACTGCTAATATTTAATCACCATCCGATTTCTCCCCCTTCCCTTGATAAAAAGTTGGGAAAGTCATAAATGTACTTTTTGCTAGTTCAAAAGGATTTAAACAGGCTCACTTAGGCTTTTTAATATCAATGCTGTATAATAATCAAATTTAAAAAAAAACCTGAAACTGGCAGCACATATGTATTTGTTGTTCTGAAAGTTTGTACAGAGTGTGAAAATTCTGTGATTTTTTGTGATTGCACCAGTTTTACTGCTTGGTTTAGAAATAACATGAATTTATTGCTTATAATTTTTTTTTTTTCAGTTACTAGGTGCAGCACTTGTT